GGCGCCGCGCTATGACGTAATCGGCCTTCGAATCCGGTCTTCTAAGGATGCATCCTAGGTTTTCGAACAGAGCCATCATGTCATGATCTGCTGTGGTAGCTGGCCTTAATTACTCATGCCTTTCACCTGCTTCACTCTTTCCAGCTCCTAATTAGCATTCATCTCATCCACCTGCCAGTTTCCCTTATATTGGGCTCAATTCCAGCTATCATGGCCAGATCATTAGATTTTGTTTTCTGTTCAGTTCTGTTTATTCTAAGGTTCATGTCCTGGATCCTGGCTGCCAGTGGAAAGAGGGTTTTGTGTCTGTCTCGTCTCCTGTTCCTGCCTGTTCTGAATCCCTGTCCAGGATCGGCTTCCTGCTAATCCCCCGGAGCTGCAGCTCCAGGGACACGCATGCCGCGTCAGCTGTCAGCCCATCGGCTGGATCGCACCCCCTTCAAGGGTGATGGACTGAACTGTTACACCAGGTAAGTGACTCACTGACATCACCATATTCTGTCAGATGATCGTGGTCACTTACCTGTCTTTCTCCCACACAGTGTCAGTGATTGTGACTGCATCCACGAGCCACAGATCCTAGCAGCTCTACTTTAGTTTTGTTTGTTTTTTATTTAATTAATTCTGAACTTTCCTACTGGCTGTCTCAACTGGAATACTGGGTCCATTTGTCCCATTTTATGACACATCAAGAAATCAATTCAAAGGCTACATCACTCTAAGGACGTGGTGAGATTTCTAGTGGTATAAAAGCCAGACATTATCTTTTCTAAAAGCTTTCTGAGAAGCTCTCTCCCATATAATCTCCTCCTCTTTAGTCACTCTTTGCTGGTTTGTCATCATTTCTTTGCCCAATTGTTTGGAGTACTCCTGGTCTTTAGTATTTTTGTGGATTTATGTTTTGGACTTTTGGTAAAATAAACATTCAAGTAACCACCTCAAACTTTGTCTGCCTTTGGGTCCTATCCAACAGCCACCTCCTTTGTGACATTATGAGAACAAATTTCCTTTCAGCTCCATGATGTTCAGTTAAAAAATTCTGTTTTTATGTCGCACATCAGGGTCCATTAAAAAGGAGTTAATCTTCATAGATTCACTGACCTATACTTGTAAGATACGGTTAAACTTCTGAAGTTACACTTTGGGCTGAAGCAGTGTTATGTAACACAATTTGAAATGTTAAATGATATCCAGGATGCTCTGAAATGCTTTAATGCTTAAACCCAAAACACCATTAAATAATTTAAGCTGATGTTCCACATAAACCTGTGAATCTATTTGATTAGCTGTTTTATAAAGCACCTAGATACATGACACATGAATAGAAAGGAAACAAAACTGAAATGACATTATTAAAAGTGTTCTAAGCAATTACATTTAATTTCTAAACCTAAAATACATTTCGTTGCCTGTTTCCGCCTATTTTTGCTTTGGCACCACAGCGCCACTTACAGGCCTGGCATACATTTTGCAGCGTTTTCATGCATTCGTGTGGACGATCACATTTATTTTATGTCTCCGTCTTTACGACAAACGTTCTGGAAAATATTAGCGTTTCGTGTTCGTTTTGACTTCGTGTGGACGGGGCCTTAGAGTGGGCCAACAGTGCCTTATTATGGCTTTGAAAAAAAATGCAAATTGAACTGAAAGAACAGGTTCTCCTTTTAGTAATGGTTCGTCATTGAGGTCATTGTTGTCCTGCAATACCCGATAATGGCCTATGCCTCTGAAAAGGAAGTTAGGCTCACTTTTGTCCTAGCTGACCAGGCGCACGCTTCACAGCAGATGCCGCCCCAATCCGCCTATCGATCTCCCGCTCCATTTTCCCCCTCATTCGTGAACAAGACCCCAAGATACTTAAACTCTTCCACTATAGACAGTACTACCTCCCCAACCTGGAGAAGGCCCTCCAAGACCATGGTCTCGGATTTGGAGGCTCTGATCCTCATTCTGGCCGCTTCACACTCAGCTGAGAACTGCTCCAGTGAGAGCTGTAGATCATGCCCTGGTGAAGCCAATAGAACCACATCATCTGCGAATAACAGAGACGTGATCTTAAGGCCACCAAAACAAATCCCCTCAACACCTTGGCTGCAACTAGAAACTCTGTCAATAAAAGGGAATGAAGGGAATCGGTGACAAAAGGCAACCTTGGTGGAGTCCAACCCTCACCAATGCAGACCAAGCTCTGACACCTGTCATACAGAGACCTAACAGCCCTTATTAAAGGACCTGGTAACCCCTCCCCTGAGGGACCCGGTCCAATGCCTTCTACAGATCCACAAAACAATGGAAGATGTGTTGGTGGGATTAAGGAGGCCTTATTAGTTAAATTAAAGTCTACTGTGGTGTTATTATAACTACATTAAAAATATAACTACATTAAAAATGATTTGTTAGTGTCTAAAAAATATATAAGCTTTATACTTTTAATATATTCTTACAGTACAATTAATTAAAAAGCATACTCTGCAGTTAATATTCAATATACTTGATCATTACTTTGCTGTACTACTATCTACCTTGCACATTCTTGCAAAACTATTACCAGTAAAGACTTTAGTGGGACTACTTCCATGCAGGTGAAAAAATATACTTTAATTTATTTTAACCATTTCCAAATTATAGTGCATTACAAATAATACAAAAACGTATGCATGTTAATCTAGATGCTGCCCATCTTTTTCATCTTCTATTTTAAACCCACTCCTCAGGCAGCTGCACGCCTTTTCCTTTCGCTGGCTTCTTCTGAATGGTCAGCAGGGCGCTTATGCAAATTTGTCAGGAAACAGAACCGAAAAAGAAAAACTGGGGTTAGATATTCAAAATATATCCGGTCTTCCTGGCCCCTTCACCTCCAAATTAAGGGTAGTATTGTTTCTCTTTTTACAGATTTAACATAACCTTGATCAAAAAAAATGTATTATTATTATTTTAGTTCAGTGGACCTCACTATGGGGAATGGAGCACGGACAGCTATAGCATTTTAAAACATTATTAGTGCACAATATGTATTTCATCAGATCAACCACAATTGAAAAAAAAATAAAAATAGTTTGTGGGGAGTTTCATAAAGAATAATTTCGGGAAAAAAAGCTTTCCAAATTAATACTATGTAATTTTTCTCAAAGCTTGTGCATGCCTTGTTGATACTGAATATCAATAAAACAACTGGGGTAATCCAACTTTTTATTTCTTTCCTTTTTTTTTTTTTGTGAATTTTATTGTGAAAATCTTGACCGGATCTTCGCTTCGTTGACATCAGCGACTTCAACAGATGCAAAGCTAGCTCCCAATGATTAGCCACGTCATGTTAACTTAGCATTGAATAAGCTGTCAAACATACAAAAAAGACTTGGACTTTTAAGCGAGTTTGAGGAGAGGTGTTAGAGGCACGGAAGAAGGGCTCCTCAACTAAACGTGTGGACCTGGTTGGTCGTTTGGTGCATGGCGCGTGTTTTGAAGCTGCTCTGCTTGTGGAGAAATGTCCTGGGCCGTGAGTAGTGAGGAAACAGGAAGCGATTCTTGTGGGATGGAAGAGGGAAATAGTGACAATGAAGGTTGGAAGATAGCAGCATCAAAAAATGAGAAAAAGCGGAAAAAACAGAGATCAGTTAAAGGGGAATCTAGTTCAGAACAATCCAGTGATGATCAATCCATACATTCCACAGCACAACAAAATGAATTCAAAGTCATATTCAAAGTCGTTAATCAGGCAGACTCTTTTACAAATTGGAATCCGGTTCACTTAACAAAAACCATCAATAAACTTGTTGGAGAAGTCAGAGGTGCCAGAATTCTGTACAGTGGAGACCTGCTAATTAACTGCAGAGACAGCGCCCAGCAAGGCAAAGCAATACGGATCAACAAAATTGACGGGATAAGAGTTCAGTGCAGCTTAATGGAGAACAAAAAGATCAGCAGGGGAGTCATTGGAGGAGTTCCTCTAAAAATTTCTGAAAAAGAGATTCTGGAAAACATAAGAGGTGCAAAAGTAAAAGAAGTAAAACGGTTAAAAACAACAAGAAACGGAGAAAGATCTGACAGTTTATCTGTGCTAATTAAATTCGAAGAAGAGCAATTACCAAGCAAAGTATTCATCGGTTACATAAGCTATAATGTCAAAATCTACAATCCTCCACCATTGAGATGTTTCAAATGCCAAAAATTCGGTCACATTGCAGCAGTTTGTAAAGGGAAACAGAGGTGTGGAAGGTGTGCAGGAGAACATGAGTACGGAAAATGTGGAAAAGAAGCTAAAATAAAATGCTGTAATTGTGGTGGAGAACATACTGCTGCCTATCGCGGCTGTGAAGCAAGCAAAAGGTCTGAGGAAATTAAAAAAATGAAATTTGAGCTCGGAATAACCTACGCTGAAGCTGCAAAAAGGATCCCATCTCAGTCAGAAAAACCCAAACCTACAGTTCAACACACAGCAAATTCCAAACCTCTAGAGAAATCTCTAAAAATTGATGAAGACTCACTTATTGTTAAAAAGACAAATTTTGTTCTTTTCATGGTAGAAGTTATTAATTGTACTGCACAGACAACAAAAAAAACGGAAAAAATCAAAATAATAGTGAAGGCTGCAGAAAAATATCTGGACATTAAAGATTTGAACTGGGAGATGGTTGGAAGTATGATGGGAGGACCGATGGGACCATCAGAAACTGGCAGAGTTAAGATGACCTAGAGTAAATTAAAATTATATGGGCAAATGTGATTTAGTATTATGTTGGTTTAAGTTACACAGGTTTTTTTTTTTTTTTTTTTTTTTTTTTTTTTTTTTTTTTTTTTTTTTTTTTTTTTTGGGGGGGTGAATCGTTTCCTGTTTTCTTGCTTTACTCCATATCAGTTGGTGGCGGTAATGCACAATTCACAAGTCTGCCAACCGCCATAAAATCCCATAAGAAGAAGAAGAAGAAGCGAGTTTGAGTTTTCCTTTCTCAAAGAAGAGGCGTTATTTCGGACTAATCAGTTGGCATTAGTCCTATGGGAAGATGTCAGACATCGGGGACTGGTTCAGAAGCATCCCTTTGGTCACCCGGTATTGGTTTGCTGCTTCGGTAGCTGTGCCTTTTATTGGGAAACTGGGACTGATTGATTTTAGGAACCTTATGCTGATCCCGGAACTGGTTTTTAGCAGATTTCAGGTGAGTTTATCAAGGCTGTGTGGTTGTGTATGAACGGTGCTCTTATTTATCGTGTAGTTCCTGGTCATTCGTGTGTTCTTGTTGTTAGCAGCTGGCTAATACCAACGGGCCTTCTGCTGCAGCCAATAAGAACTTGACACGTAGAGGAGAGGGGGGTTAGGACTTCCGGGTGCTTTACAATCTTCCCTATGTGTACATAACGATAATCAACATCGGATTGGACGTATTATCGAAGATATTACTTGGACTAAATTTATAATTTTAATTTGTGTAGTAAATTTGATTATAAATGTAATTTATAGAAGGTTTGGGAACGTGTATTTATTTAAAGGATGATGTTTTGTTTGTGTCCACAAGGCGGCGACTGCACGACAGCAAATATAAAAACTGCTAAATGTGTTCTTCAAGGCATCAGGATTCAAGCACAAACTAATTTATAAGTTTAATAGTATTCATTGAACATTGTTCAGCATAATTATGTATGATGAACAAAAATATCTAGATGTTATAATGATAATATTAATAAATAACTGTATTCTCATGTTCTCTAGAAAGAAGTTCTAAAGGTATATAGTTAATATCTGATGGATACCTTTACAAAATTCAACTATCAGAAGTAGCAGCTACATGTCTGATATAATCCACAGGATGTGCCTCAAAATGAGGTTTATATACCAGTATATGGCGCTTTGTGGTCGACAACAACTCAGTTTGTTTATCTTAGGAGTGTGTTTTTGTCTGCAAACAAAACATTTGAAAACAATCAAGATTTATTCTATTTATTTTACATCAGCAGGCAAACTTTGGCCCCTTTTTAAGCCCACATTCCAAACATCCTTATATTCAGTCATATCAGAACCTAATCATAGTTGAATGCATGTTAGATCCCATCCTGTATCAGTCATGGTCCAGCTAACTGCTTTAGCATTATAACTTTAGAACAATTATCAATGGGAAAATATATTAGAGTATATGCTGTATTCATGGAGGTTACAGGTTTTTATTGGTTCTTTTATGGAAACTAAACAAAATTCAATCTTTTCTACTTTGTTTGCATTGTATTTCTTCATAAAATCGTGATCATAAAAACGTGCATCTATTTCCAGCTTTGAGATCAAGCTGAAAATAGCTAAAATTATTAATTGCAAATTTCAACTGTTCCTGGCTTGTTTGCAAATCTTTCTAATCAGCACATTTAATGCTGTGAAAGACATATCACTAGGCCTGCGACTAACGATGATTGTGATCATCCATTAATCTGACGATTATGTTTTCGATTAATAATTATAATTATTAATCTGACAGCAAACGTTCCTTAAAGTAGATTTTATACACAATTAAACTAAGTGAAACAAACTTTTCGACTTGTGGAGTTCTGAAAAGAGCATATTGACAGGAGAAAGTATTTTTTTTATCTTAAATGCAAAATATCTATATATTTTTCACAATTTTGGTATAGTTAACACGCTAAGTGGGCTGCTCTGTCAGCTAAAGGCATGTTTTACTGTCTCTATACTCCGTTAGTTGGCGAGTAATTTCAATAATCGATGAATTTTTGCAGCTCTAGTTATCACAGATTCTGATGGCTAAAAATCCTTCACAGTCCTCGTGATTTTTTTTTTTGTTTCAGATCTGGAGACCAGTGACAGCCACCCTTTATTTCCCTATTACTCCAAACACTGGGTTTCTATACCTGGTCAATCTTTATTTCCTCTACCAGTACTCCACTCGGCTAGAAACAGGTGAGGCTGCTCATTACATAGTCTGCTTCCTGTCATTCTAACATAATCTGTCTTATTTACATTTTAAAAAATGTTTCTTCCTTTTGTAATCTTCAGGGGCGTTTGATGGCCGGCCTGCCGACTATGTCTTTATGCTCCTTTTCAACTGGATCTGTATTGTTGTATCCTTTCAGCGTCATCTACTATAGATTAAAACCTTTAAGGACTGAATGAACATTTAGTTGTTTTCCATGGTAGCTTGTTTTTTCACATACTCTCTCTCTGCGCTGCGTGTCATGTCAGGGTGGCTCTGCGCCAGTGTCCCAGTGTCAGTCGCTCCTCTGCAGAGCAGAGAAACCCAATCTAGGTCACATGCAGCTCTAGCAGCTCTATAGTCCGGCCTACGTCTCCATGATGTTCAGTCAGGAGTTTAGAGCCAGCTTACGCTAAAACTCTGTATAATTCAATATTAGGATATTTCCAGTTTTGATAACTGCATGAAGATGAGAGGAATGTGTGGAGGTAGTGAGGTGCGAAAGATGTCATCTGCCAAGGTCGGATCCTTTGCTCCAGTGTTCCTAGAGCTGAAATAGGGATTTAAGTTGGCGATTTCTTTCTTTTTCTCCCTCTCTGATCCTGAAAATGAAACCACAGTGAGCTTTTTGTCCTTGACTTGGTGTCTCTAGATAACTGGGCTGCTGATGGACATGCGGGTAAGAATACAGTGCAGTCTCTCACTGTGTGCACACCACAGTGCTGGCTGGACTCCACTGAGCGTTTGAAGAAAGCAGCAGCCGTTTGCAAAACTAAGATCCGGTTAAACAAGCATAATGTGCAACATTGAATTCGTCGATTCACATTTTGTAACGCCACAGCCTCAACCTTCACTGATATTATCTGATCAAAATCTGAAAATGAACCTCCTCTGTGAGTGAATGAATGGTTTGTAGAAGCTGGTTTGGCTGTTTTTACAGATCAGATGTGGATCAGCTGGAACCATTGTAGCTCCGCATCACTCCTCTGAATGCTCATGAATGCGAGCCTCCGCCACAACCATAAGTCTTTAGCTCCCATTATCTTCAATTCAATTCTGACCTGCAACAAGTCTCCCCAAAGCATGATGCTGCAGCCACCTTGTGTAGTCATTAGGATGGTGTGTTCTGGGTAATAACAGCTTCTTATTACGCAGAAGAGCTCAGTTTATAAAATATGCTAACTTCTGAAGGAAGTCGACTCAGTACACCCCACACTATTCAGATTGTTGTTATAGGTCAAACACCATCCTCATACATCGTTGTATCAGGTTTGTATTTTTAATCTGAGTTTCTCAGAGATCTATTCCAACTTTTATTCGGGTCCCAGTCAGGAACGGCTGCAGCATTCTTCTGACCAGTAGCCTTGGAGCCAGTCTGCATATTTACATTTAAATGTTCCTGAATATGCACTCTCCCTTTTAAATAAATAAATACCAGTGATTAACTCAGCAACTGGTTAAAAGAATCTCATTTTGCTTCTGCTCTGTTTCAGCTGCTGATGATCCCAATGATTATGTCAGTTTTGTACGTCTGGGCCCAGTTCAATAAAGAAACGATTGTGTCCTTCTGGTTTGGAACTCGCTTTAAGGTAAAAAAGTAAAGAACCCCCCACCTCCATCACCATGAAGGATATGGTTGCATATAAGCCCCCCAGGTTAACAGGTCGTTTGCTGCTCTGTTTGCAGGCGCACTATCTCCCTTGGGTCATCCTGGTCTTCAACTTCATAATCGGAGGCTCGTAAGTTCCACTTCCTGTTCATTGGGTTCCAACGCCATGAGAAGCCAGACGTGTTTCTGTACTCCTCCTGTTTTGGTTTCTCTGCAGGTTTGTGAATGAGCTGACGGGTAACCTGGTGGGCCACCTCTACTTCTTTCTCATGTTTAAATACCCCATGGACCTGGGAGGACGCTGCTTCCTGTCCACACCAGAGTTCCTGTGAGTTTTAAGCACTGATCTCTATTTATTCATGGTTTGCACGCAGCATAAATATGGGTCAATTGGAACAGACGCGTACTGATGACATCACCACATGCTTGTCTAGAGCTGCATTTCATCTCCTGTTATTAATAGTCTCTAGATAATGATAAATTATTACTTTTTCATCTGGCGGGGGAATAATAATTAACACAGTCACATAAACACAAATCAAAGATCATTTTGCAAAATAAAACAAAAACATTGCCATCGGAGCCAGCGATCCTTGGGAGAGGGCCGCTGCACACGGGCTGTGGTTAGCCCTGACTGCCGTTACCCTCGGAGGTCCGCTGGTTACTGCTGTCCTCTCAAGTTTGATTTTTATTTTTTTTTTTATTACACCTTAGGTAGGTAAATATACCATATAGTGAAGCTTTAAAGTTTGAGATTCTGATGATCTTAAAACTCACTTTTATTGATCAACAGAAAACAGAACTTTAAACTTTCAATGGAGCACTCCATTGAAAGCTGCTGCTGCCGCAGTGCATGCTGGGACAGCTGTGAATCTCAAGAACGGTCAAGTCTGCTCTGATGCATGCTGGGTAAATAGGGAGGGGCGTGTCACTACCCGATCCATCCCGGAAGCACGATGCGTCCTGCGCATGCGCGGAAAGATATACATCCCGGTGTCCATAGATAATGTAATTATGATGCTAAAACTACGACTACTTATTTCTATCCTTAACTCACTAAAGAATGCTGATACACATCTTTAAAAAATGTTTTATGAGACAAATTTTATGCTTTTTACATTTTCTTCGTTAAACTGCTTCTCTGACGTCATCATGGGACATGCTCAGAGCAGTCTGGCAAAATATGATTAAAACATGTTAATCTGCATTTAAGTTGTTTCTTTCTTAAGACTGCGCACTATATAGCATGAGATTAAAACGAAACGAAAACATAAAATTCAAAAAGACTAGATTTATGTTTAATCCAAAGCCGAAGAAGTTAGCCGTCGGAAGTAGCGTAGGATCCCATTTCCGGTGCACGCCGGGCAGAGACGAGTGATAAAACAGGATTTTTAAGGAATTTATTTTCTCAGGAAATATATTATTAAACCTTCAAAAAAAAAATAATAATTTAGTATGTTTACTATTTTTGGGAAGGGAAAACATTTAGGTCTTTTTAACAAAATAAAATTGAGGACGAACCCAATGTATATCTGGATGCACATGCGGAAATTACCTGATGGCGCATGTGCAGAACGGATCGTGCTTCCGGGATGGATCGGGTTGGCCTGACGTAGTCCTACTCAATTCTAGTCAGAATATGAGTCTGATACTGCTCCATAGAGCTGTGATTATGGGGCGTGTTTTGAACGAACCAGGAAAAAAATGCCTCTGCACTCAATTGGATAGACCTACAACCAATAAGAGCAACGGAGTGCGTGACGTATGTTAAGCCAGGCATAGTTGTTGTCAACAAAAATCAAAGCGTGCAGTTGCGCGCCTAGAATAAGAAGATGAGCCTTGATCGCGTTTCTCTGTTCCTCCTTTTAAAATTAATTTGCTGTCGATATCTTCTAGAACAGACCTAATAGCAAAATCTACACACCTCAACTCTCCAGCGGCAGCCATTGTTGTTGTCACCCAAGCCCGCTTTGGTCACGTGGTTGATTACGTTACTGTTGATCATCTGTCCATCATCGTATAAAGCCCACCCTGACAATTTGATTGGCCCGCCAGATATTGTGCTAGCATACTCGCGCTACTGTTGAGCAATGCCAGACCGAACTTCCCGACCTCAAACGTTGTGGGCGGGACTAAGTTCGGAATGGCACCCAGGCTAGGATCGGGTAGCAACAGGGCGAGAACAACAACCGGGGACTCTATCTGTTCTGTCTTCGCTTTCATGTGAATTTGGACAACACTAGGGCTGAGGTGGATGACGTTTAACGAGCACACGAGAACGCACAAGTACGCATATTGAGAAACGGCCATGGAGTCACGCCATATCTTGTAATGTAATTACCATAACAATGTAATCAATACATGCACATTATCATTTTAGCACTTTGGAACATCATCAGATAGTATGTGTCTGTAATATTCCTAATATCTGCCTACAGTAGTGTTATACTCCATTAACGCACTAATTTTCTTGTGGTAGATTTGTATGATGTCACATTATTTATAGACTTCATTCTAAATATGCAATGTGATGTCTTTTTTTTAACTGTAAATTACAGTCATCAAGTGATGCTGTGAAACGGCAAATGTGTCAGAATAATGAATTTATCTTTATTTTAAAAGTCTTAAACCCCCCTCAAAATGAGAACATCATCGTTGTTTGATACTGTAGCGCACGTTTTGTTTACATTAAGACCGGTCTTACTAGGGAGGACCAATATGGCGGCTGGTGATTTCAAAGCACTGTGTACTACCAACAGCCTATCAGCAATCCAGTGAATAGAAATCAGTGGTTTTTAAAATAGATCAAAGCAGAGCTTCACTGATCAGTTTTTTGTGATTAATAACTGAAAATAGTAGCTTCTGGTTTTACTCCATCTGTAGAAAAGTTTTTTTTCTTCTTACCGATAATTTTCAGGTGTTTCTGTAACTTTAAACAATTACATGTTAGTAACAAGGTCATTTTTAAATCAACTGTTTTCCTGCTCCAGATATCGGTTCTTTCCGAACACAAGAGGAGGAGTATCCGGGTTTGGAGTTCCTCCGACCAGGAGACCAGTTCCCCAGGAGCCAGCCGCAGGAGGAGGGGGTGGAGGACGTCACAACTGGGGACAGGGCTTCCGCCTGGGGGGGGAATGAGATCTACTCTCCCTCAACTCCACCAACAAACAGCCCAGCAGTTGATTTTGTTTCGGCTAAAATTCTTGCTTCCTCATATTTACTGTTTGAAAGAGAGAAAAATTTTTTACCTCAAATTTAATCTGTGCGTTAGATCCTAAAAGATGCTCCAGGGTGAAATCAGAGGAAGTTTGTATTTTAACCACAACTGCTTTGCACTGCAGGACTCAGACTCTGGCCACTGATTTTACTACTGCACGTGTTTCTGTGTGAAGGAGCCAGACAAAAACTAACTGTTCATATCCTGCCACCCTCTCCTTTCCATCTTTCCTGTCCTCTTCCGTCATTTTCTCCTCCACATGCCATCGGTCGGGATATTGCAGCTGCACACATTGATTCAGACTCCTCCCTCGCTTACAATGTAATTTCAGATTACATTGTAATTCTCAATGTGCCGCCATCAGCAGGAGGACTGAGGCTGTTTAAACTGTAGCTGCCAGGTCTGAGTTTCCATAAGTGTAAAATAATTTGGAGCCATTGAGCGAAGAGTTGGAACTTTTTTTCTGTCAAGAGACACGATCTGAAAGAGGTGAAAATGATTTATTTTGTAAATACAGCTGTTTATTGAAAATATGTGTGGGTGTTTCATTATTTTTCAGGCTGATTTAACGCAATACTTTGGATTAAAATAAACTTGGAATATGTAAAGGAGAAGATGCTTAATGCCAGTTTAATGGTTTCTGTGAAGGTTTTTTTTTTCCCTAAAAGAGGAAGAGCTGACATTAATTGCTGCCTAACAATCTTCCACTACCACAATGATCCAGTCTGATTATCAGTACATCATTTTATCGAGGAGGAGTGATGGCCATCCATCGAGCCGCCTGGGTAACGGGCCAATTACCCCCTCCCCCACCAACGCTTTAGTTCATCCTGGAGGAACGAAAATGTTGCTAGGAAACACTTCCCGTCCCTTTAGCTCGAGCCGGCCCATATTCCCCTGTGGGATGTGCTCAGGAGCAGGTGCAGTGTTTTTTTTAATTAGGAACATGGCTCTTTGCTCTGGGTGGCATCTTTTAAGGGGGGGGGGGTTAAAGAGTTTGAGGACCAACGTAAGGAATCTGCTCACATTAAATTAGAACATTTCTTTGGATTAACGGCTCTGAAACTCAATCACAGATAAACTGACTAACCTCAGTGATAATTTAACTCTAAGGCTAAACTTTTGAATGAGATTTGTCTAATTTGAAATTAAAAGTTTAATCTTAGGTTTCTATTAACCTTCAGTTATTTGTTTTAGAACCATGGTTCTCAGAAGCTGTCCTGCATGTTTTAAGGGTCCCCTCACCAGAAATGTATGGGGGCTGGGGGAGCTGCTAGACCAAGGTGAAAAAATTTATTATGCTTTCTTTGTATACAACAGCTTTTTGCATGTGTAAATATGAATCAGAGACAAGCTACAGATTAACACCAACCACACGCCCCCAACTCTTCCCTCCTCACTGCGTCCCTCGGGCGACTGTTTGAGCTGGAGCGAGTGTTTACAAGGAGGAACAGGAGTGCAAAACATGGACTGATATTGAAAAAATTGAGATGTTATTTATTCAAACCTATACAATAAGGCTTGTTTGACAATATTTAGTGGCAAAGGAACAGAGAGACGCAAGTTTAGTGATGACATTTAAGTTTTCGGGATAAAATGCCCTTCTAAGAGTAGCTGTAATACAAAATATCTTTTACTTGTACTTAATAATGTAAAGTAACAATATTCTTACAGTAACTAGAATCTTTAGAATGTCAAGTAATTTTTGTAAATGTTTTTACAATGTTGGTTTGTTTTGTATGTGGGGGGTGGGTTGGTCAGTTCACCCTGGGTGCCAAATAACCGGTGTCTGAGTGCATTTTAACCACGTTTTTATCTGTGAAAAATGTTCAAAACCATGAAAACTTTAACTTCTACTTGCATCTTTTACAAAGCTCCAGTGAAATAGATGAAAACATGAAAGGTTTTTGAACATCTTTGCAAATCACTGCATGCTAGTTAACAGGAAATCTTAATATAGTCAATTTTGCAGGCTAGTGCCTTCTTCAAAATCATGTTTTTCTTGTTAGAAAAGGGCTGACCAGTGTTTGCTGTCAACTTTGTTTTTATTGAATTGCATCAGACTTCTTGTAGAAAATGAAATTGCAAGCAGTATTCCTTTAACAGGTCAGGAAAACGTTCAGTATTTGAAACCGTGAGGCTAAAGCAGCAGGAGCTAACATGCAGTCAGCATAGTCATACAGCTGATGGCAACTTACAGCTCCGTTACTTGCTGTCTGAAAAGGAAAAAAAACAACATTTCATTCATTTAGAAATCAGAGGTCAAGTTTAAAACGATGCCTCGGTATGAATCAAAAACAAACCCTTGAAATCCATGACAGCTTTTGACTGCTGACATTACATCCGCCTTTTAAATTTTTGTTTTTGTATTCTCGATTTGCCAACCTTTTTAGTTGTGTACAGAAATAAAAGGGAATTCAGTCCCACCTTGAGTCTAAAGAAAAGAAGCTTAGATGGTGTATTTACAGCTGAACAAGACGGATACATGAAAAGGCTCAGATAAAGGTGCTCGGCGTATTCAGAGTGCATGTAGCATTTTCACTAAAAAATAAAAGAGAAAAAAGGCTTTTGGTAGCTTCAGCCAAAACCTACAACACAGAACCAACCATGAAGCTGAAACTATACCCGACTCTGCAGGTATGAGCTGGAAAGGCAGCTTGGTGTCCAACAGACCCTGCATTCTCCGGGATTCATCAGTTCTCTGTAGAAATGTGCACGTTATGTTCTACATCGGCTTCATGAGTGCAGCTTACACAAACCGTGGCGAGGTTTGTTAAAGTATCAGCACCCTGGTGCACTTTTGTTTCCTCAGCAGCACACTCCTCTCGCTCGCCCACATCGTATCACCGTAAAGGCATCTGAAAGCAGCCCTGGTATGAGAACATCTACCTCTACCACAAGAAAATATGCAAGTGCCATCAAGATCTGCTCATATTGAGCAAAATGCATCTATTTTTATCTTTTAAAAAAAGGAGGGGGTGGTTCCCCAGTAAATAGACTATAATACATTTTGATCTCATTACATCAACCAGAAACATTCCAGGTTTTGGGGCAACATTCAGTTATCAAAAACTCTAAAAAGAAAAGCCATCTGCCCTGCAGGAACACCTGAACAGGCCGTTCCCTCTGAATGAAAAACTATTTACAGAAATATTAAGACAACTAAATAATAACAGAAGTGGGAGATCTGCGTCAAGTCCAGCTTTGGCTCTCCTCTTCCTTGTGTCAGCGTCGGCTCTTCTCCACACTGCCGTGGTTTGATGACATCACAGACACACCACGGATCTGATTGGTTGTCTCCACTTGCCTCACGATGGGTGCTCAATCTGCATTTATAGATTTATTTCTCCTAAAGCCGAACAAAAAAACAAAAGAACACATCAACAAGTCGTATTTGTGCTTTTCCAACAATGTTTGTAATGAAATCTAAAAGCCTGAATAACTTTAACATTTATAAATAAATTAAATACTCCTCTGTGACCTTACAGATCGATAATCATGCGCTTTAGTCTGTGCATTCGATACTAATGGGGGTGCATGCCATCTTTTTGAAGGACCAATCAGGCGTAATTACACACCAGTAACTTCCTGCATGGCTGCAGAGCCACAGCTGTGCCCTCTTAAAGGAACAGTTCACCATTTAATTGAAGCCAAGTCACAATCTGTTCCTGCCACCCATTTATTCTCTACAATTTGTCCTGTCAGGAGTCACAGAGGGCTGGAACGTCTGCCAGGATGAACCGAGGAAAAAGCCTGGCAGCTCAGATTCAGCACCAAGGAACTTGCTGTATTGGAAATCTGACTGCTGCAGACGAGGGAAACAACCGAGGCCAATTAAAGCAGAAAAGTAATGGTTTAGTTTCTAAATGTGAATTAAACACCTGTTGTCCCCCTCCCCACGACCAACAAAGACAAGCTACAGATTAACATTTCATGACCATTACTCCTATTGTCTTCCAAGTTGGGGATATTGAACATCTGATCCAGTGTCTTTTCCAGATTCCTTTGCTAGCTAAAGTATTCCCACCCCTCAACCTTTTTCCACATTTAGTCCTCTACCAACTGCAAATTTAAAGTTTTGTATTGAGATTTACTTATACATGTATACACACATACATATCTCAAAGAAGAAAGCCAATGTTCCTTGGACACTATTAAAGGTCCTGTTTGCAGATTAAGCAAACAACCACCAGATGAAACCACAATTAACCTCTCTAGTCTACATGCAAGGCAGAAAACCAACACTGCAGATCTCCCTAAACACTCCACAGTGAGTGCACAGCTTCTTAATTGTTAATCGGATAGGAAGACCGTCCAGTGTAGATGCATGTAAATAAAGGATGTTCCTGGAAGGATGCAGGCTTACAGGGTATAGGTTTCTCTTCCAGTCGGACAATGAAAAAAAGGCTGTTTTTTTTTTTAAAGCAAATTCATGCATTAGACTGGTCAAGCAAAAGTGCAGACCTAAATCCAGTAAAGAATCGGCGAAAAGATTTGTAACGGAAAAGACATAGGGTATAAGGTTCTAGTTTAGCTAATCTGGTAGAAGCAGCCTAGAGTCTAAAGGGGGTAGATTGATCACAGATACTCTCCACACATTTTTCAGACCTCTATCTCCATATGTTGAAAACCAAGAGTCATTTTACTTCCCGTCTGTAGTTAGCCACTTTTATTGATGGTCATAACATCCATCCATCGTATGCAGGTTCATATTTGCATTTTCCCCATTCTCTAGCCTTTTCTCTGCCTCAAGCTTCTTTTCCAAAGCATTTTAATGCCACGATTATCAAATTTAATGAATTATAACGCCAATTAAGGCCTTAATTAAAAAAATTATTATTTAATGGCTTTTAATGATTTTTAATGACCCGCAGAAACCCTGTAATTCCAAATGATGGAATCACTGCTGCCACCATCAGGCATAGCAGAAAACTGCTTGTCCCAAGGTTATTGAATCAAATCCCAGGGGATCAGCAAATCAACTGGTAGGGGGCGGGGCCGCCTGAGTGTTTTTCCTGGGTGGTGCGGTCGCGGTGGGTGTTGCGGCCGGTCGCCGGGGCTTGGTGCCGGGGGGCGGGGCGTGTTTCGGTGCTCTGTGGGGCTGGGGCGTTTCGGTCGGCGCCGTGGGGGGGCTGGTGTTCGGTGCCCGGCCCTACTTCGGGGTGGCCGGCTGCCGGCAGGGCTCGCGGACTCGTCCCCGCGGCTCCCCGGGGCGCCGGCACGGCGGTGGCTGGGGGGCTTCTTCGTGGCTGTCTCTCCTCCTGCCTTGGTGGGGGTCTGATTTCCGGGGCTGGCCCCGCCTTGGTGCCTTCGCTTCTGGGGTCCCCTTGGGCGCCTGGGGTTTTGGGTCTCCCGGCGCTGGACTCAGTGCTCTGGGGGGTGTGCCTCTCCGGCTCTCCACAACCACTATTGAGCATTTTTTCTATGGTTAAAACTTTACATGCACAAGTTCACCCTCACAAACAACTACAGGTGCTAGGCTTCAGGTACTTAGAGATCCACTTCCAAACAGAAACCCCACATTCATATCTTC